GGAATTGGGATTAGGGATGCTCAACCTATAATGTAAAATACAGATCTCCTAGCAAGAATAATAGAATCATGTGTGGGAATTGCTAACTAGGACTTAACTTGCTCTCAAAACTTGGTATTTTTTTGAACACCACTCATATGATTTTTTTAAAGTATGCTATTTTATAGACTTATTAATGTTTATTTTATTTGTAAGACTGAGTTCCTCAGCATCAGACAGGGCCAGGAACATATACTTAGCATGTGGTAACAGCTACATGCCAGCCTGATCTAATCAGAACACAACTAACTTTCTCCCAAGTCCTCCTGGCCCATTCTGGAAATGGCCTTGACCTTGGAACTCCATGTATTGCTTTTTCTCCTCTTGCTTCCAATTGATTTAAGTGCATTTCTTCAAACCAGTAAAGTCTCTGTGGTGATGGGGTTTTCTCAGAAGACAATTGTAATTTTCCCAATTTCTCTGTTGATTTTTCTTATGATTCAGGATTCAGCAAAACATCGTATTTCCCAAGAAATACAATGTCAGGAAACATTTCCAAGAATATCAGGGACTAAAGTAAAGTAAGTCTGCCTCTAATTTTTTTTTTTTTTGCAATTGTCCAGCAGAGTATCTATTCAATAGGCAGTTTATTATAGGCACTCCAATGTTTGTTGAAAGAGTGAGTAAACAAAATGAATTTGTCTATATATATTTATATTGGAAATAATGCTTCTTTCCTCTAGGGTTCTTGTGTTATTACAACATCTTGCTTTGTCTTGTATCTATTTATGTGCCTATTTTTCTTTGCTTTTCTATGAGCTTGGTGAACATCAACCTGTGGATAGGGTCCCTGCTGTCCATTCACTTATTCCCCCAGCATAGAGAAGGCAGCCCTACACCAAGCACATACTCATCAGCTATTTGATGATCTCACAATGAATAAAGGAAGCCTTTAATCATATCAGCATGTTTATATATGATCATATCAATGTGTTTAAACTAAATCCTATCCCAAAATTTTAAATTCCCCATCCTGTTCAAGATAACTTATGGTCTGGGCTCACTTTTTTTCTTTTTTAACAAAAGGGAGAAACTTCCCAGTAATTCCCTTCCCCCACCATAACAAGGTCTTCTATTGTTTTAAATAGTTTTAAATAATTTATCACTATATCTTCTATCAAGTACATCTTTCTTTCTATTTCCATAAAATCTATAATGAAATAGCAGTCTCTATTTACTTTGCAGTACAAATTGTTTTGTAGGTCAAATTTTGTCCCTTCTTCTCTATATCTCCCTCATCTTCTTGCAAATGTAAGTATCTTCCCTAACACATCCACCTCTTGACTCCTTTGCACCTTTAATTGTGTTACTATATGGATTGTATTTTTATTAGCACAAAAACCTGTTGAAACCCTTGCTTAAAGGTCATTTTGCTAATAGGATTTACCTGTTTGCTTCAAACCCAGCCTAAACACTATCAGCTCATGTTCACACTGTCCCAAGTGGCCCATGCTTTCTGCTTTCCCTCTGAAACCATTGAACTACATCTGCAGTTACCCTACTTGTTTGATCTTTCCTGTGATAATTGACTCCGAGACACTTTAAGTATAGATTTTCAGCTGTACTTTAAAAACTATTTGTCAGAAACAAAATATTGGTCTGTGGTCTTAGATTAAAACACAACACTGACCCAGCATTGTATATTTTATATGGCTAGGTTTGGCAATCTTTGATTATTTTTCTTCATGTTAGGACCAAAAAGAACATTAAAATTCAGGTATCTCTCTCATCTCATTAAGTTTGTATCTAAAGTCTGTCATGCTGGCGTTCTAAAATAAGGTCGTGTTACTGCTCTAAATGTACCCAGTGGAATATGGACACGAAAGCAGCTCAAAGCGCTTTCTCTGCCCTTTACAGGAACACATATAGGCTCTTCTTTGAACAGTAGACATTTGACACCCTGTCTCCTTGAACTTATACTTCTATTTTATGTCCCCCTCAACATTTTTAAATGTATTACATACTTATGCTTAAAAATATTTTATTATCTTATGTCTCTGTAATAAAAATTCATATTTAATTTTTAATTTTTGGTTTTTTTGCAGTGCTAGGGATTGAATTCAGGCCCAGGACCTTGTGCATTCTAGGCCGGCACTTCACCACTGAGCTGTGTCCCCCAACCCATAATTAAATTGATTTTTTAAATTTCATGTGGCCAAAAGCCTCTAAAGGTTAAAATTTTAACTCTGTGTCACTGTACCCAATATTATTAATTCATAATTGTTCAATATATCACAACTAAAATAGAAAACATGATAATTATTAAATATAAAAGCTTATATTTTGATAAGTGCAGCAAGTTTCAATTATGTGTTTAGCTATCTGTGACTGAATCTTACCTTTCGTTCAGAATAATGAGACAGCATGAAGCACCAATTCTATTCCTTCTATCACCTTTATATAGATTATCCACATAAATGAGAATGAAGTATTCGTGTTATAGCAATGACTTAATTCTTGGAACTCTGAAGTTACCAGCACTTATCACAAAGTGATCTATCATCTTACACAATTTTTAAATGATCTACCAGCTGACAAATCAGCCAGGTCCTCCTCTAATTTGGTCAAAAGCAAAGAATTTAAACACATCCATCATTAGAGTTAACTGGCATTACAGCCATTTACTTTCAGAGTTTTGTAGAAGTAAAGCAAAAATCCTCTACCAAGAGTTACCAAAGGACCATTACTTATACCTCACACTCTTTCACTTACAGGCATCTTGTCCAGTCTACTGTACTCAGAGTAGGGAAAATTACCTAAACAATGTCATTTTTTATATGATGATTTTTATCAGTTTGTGTGTGCGTGTATGTGTGTGTGTGTGTGTGTGTGTGTATGTGTACACACACATACAAGTTTATCAATACCTTGGGCTTAAAGGTTTAGAATTCTGTTTGTGGAAAATAGCCATCATACAACCTGATTGCCCAAATCAATTCTCAGTATCAAACCAATTAGTCAAATCATATTTCTTAGGTCAATTCAAATAAACATACTACTGTGCATCTCTACAATTATTGAACTTCTGAACTTAGAACATCAACACAAGCTATCAATCCATATTTCTAATACCACATTGTATTCTTCATAGAAATATACATTATGGTTTGGATGTGAGGGGTCCCCCAAAAGCTCATGAGTGGGCTGAAATTCTAGCTCAGTGGTAGAGCACTTGCCTAATATGTGTGAGGCCCACTGGGTTTGACTCTTATAGCACTGCATATAAATAAATAAAGGTCCACCACCAACAACAACAAATATATATATATATATATATATATATTTATTTATTTATTTTTAAAAAGCTCATGTGTGAGACAATGCAAGGTTTAGAGAAATGATGAGCCTTAACCCAGTGAATTAATCACCTAATGGGATTAATTGAGTGTTAACTGAAGGCAGGTGGGGTGTGGCTGGAGGAGGTGGGGCATTGGGGGAAGAGCTTTGGGGTATATTTTTGTATCTGGCAAGTGGAGATCTCACTCTCTGCTCTCTGATCATCATGTGACCTGCTTCCCTTCACTACATTCTTCTGCCATGAAGTTCTGCCTCACCTCCATCCCTTAGGAATGAAGGCTGCTGTCTATTGAGACCTCTGAAACTGTGAGCCCATAAATAAATTTTTATTCTTCCAAAATTGTTCATGTCAGGTCTTTAAGTTGCAGCAACAAAAACGCTGACTAAACACATAAGACAGGGAGAGATCACAAGTTCTTTCCTGAATGTATCATGTATTAATTGAAGAAAGCCTCCTGACCCCAATAGATCTGTTCCTTTATAAGGAAACTCAGGGGTGTGCATGCCTCAGGCATGGTAGATTCTGATGTATGACAGTATTCCTGGTTTGGGTTTTGTTTGTTTGTTTTCCTTTTTGGTACCAGGGATTGAACTCAGGGTGCTTAACCATTGAGCCACATCCCCAGCCCTTTTAAAATTTTTTTATTTTGAGACAGGGTCTCACTAAGTTGCTTAGGGACTCACTAAATTGTGGAAGCTGGCTTTGAACTTGAAATCTTCCTGCCTCAGCCTCCACAGCCACTGACATTGTAGACATGCTCCTACACCCAGCTCTTATTTTTGTCCAAATGAGAGAAGGGCAGGTGAGAGAATAAGTTAAGAAAAGAGAACCAATGTGCCATCTTCCCTGCTGGTGTGTTCTTACACTATCGATTTTGGGAAAGTGTCTGCATGCCAGCTAAGGCTCTGCAAAAGACTCCTTTAAAAAAACTGTGGGGCCATGTACTCTTGGCAAGACGTCTTCTGCCTCTAGCAATGCACATTAAATAAACTAGCTATGGTTACTAAGATGTAGAACAAGGGAGCTTAACAATGCCACATCACTTGGTGCATAATTAAGTAAATATTTTAAAGGGGCCATAGATCCAAACTATCAATAATTTCAAAACAAAAGTTTTCATCAACTACAAAATAACTACACCTCTTATTAAATAACTTGGAAAATAATTGGTAAGCCTCCTAAGTCTCTTTCCATTTACATTAAGGATGTCACTCTGTTTTGGTCCTCCTCCAGCAAGAGCTTTAAGAAAAGTTCTTCTTCACAAATATTATAAATACAAAGCACAGTGAGCAAAGTAAAACAGAAATATAGGGCAGGAATAATGACTTAGCATGACAAGTATCTCAACATGACCCTTGCTGTCTAAAGACGCATTAGGATTTAAATTTTCTGCAAATAAAAAAACTGACCATGTACTATTACTTGGACTAATAATAGTGGCTATTTTAAAAAGCAGTTAAATCCTCAAGGTGCAAAAAAGTCAATTTGAACATTCAAAAAGAAAAGTGGTCAAGCAGAATGATTTTTATATAAAGATAAACACTTCAGTAGAGCTTTGAATTCACCTCGTTTTGAAAGGAAGAAAAAAAAAAGATCAGTTAAGCTGATACATACAAATACATTTGTTTTGGTTGTTATTTCATTGAGTTCCAATTATACTCACCGCCTCTGTGTGAACAGGATGCACAGCAAAAAGTAATGCCGTAACAAAAGCAAGTCCACGATTCTTGAAGACGGTTTTATCACAGGTGTACATCAGCACGAGGGTCACTAAGCAGTGTAAAATTACATTTACTGCGTGAAAGTAGAATGGGTTCATGCCAGTCAAAAATATGTTTAGCCTGTAAAAAAAAAAAAAATTAAATTAAAAATAAAAACCTGTGCTAACTTCAAACACAACACAAGCACAAAGAAAGCAGACAGATTCTAACATTTATACAGATAAGCTATTTGAGTAATTATTTTTAAATGACTCCCAACATTTCATTATTTGATAGATTTGAGTATGAACCACTTTTTTTACTATCTCCAAATTAATTTTCCTATCTGCAGAAATCAATGCATATATAATACAATGTGACTTCAGGAAACTTTGGCCACACTGAGGCAGCAAAAGCAGGTACTCAACCTGTTTTTCCTGCACACTGTGGATGATATGAACCCCTCTCATAATAGTCTTGTTCTCACTGCCAGCTACTCCAAAGTAACCAAGTGTTCAAATGAAGTTCACAGTGCTGTGGGTCAGAGCCACAGTCACTGCACATGAACAGAAAACAGGAGCCTGTGACTATGGCCACAGTTCAGACAAACCAGACATGAATGTGTTCTCTCACCTATGGTGCCACCAGGAGCCACATTTCCATATTATGCATGTGACTGTGAAGCCAGATTTAAAGTTAGGTAGTCAGTGTAGTTAGGTAAATCGGGTCTAATACCGAGTGAAATCTAAAATGGAGGCCATGCTGGGAATGACTCAGGGAAAACTCAGGACAATTCATGGAATGTTAGTGAAGTCCCGAAAAGGCCCTAGGCCAAAGTCCACCTGGAAGAAGTATTAATGAATAGCTCCCAGCAGATTTGAAGATAGCCCATCACAAAGAAGTGATAATGAAGTCCTTCCTGCTCAGACTACTTCTTTGGCCCACCTGTGTCCCACCCCTCGGGCCTTCCATCCTACATTCCATCACTGAAAGAACTATAAAAAGGGGAAACAACCGCAATTCCACGGATTCCACCTCCTGGGTCCCCTTCTTCCTCCGGGAGAAGTCTTTTCTGCTGTCCTTTAATAAATTTCTAATTTCTAATTTCTACTCTGACCTTGCCTCAGCGTGCTTCTGTTATTCTTCAACATCGGGGAGCAAGAACTCGTCACCAGTCAACAGCGGTAACAATGGCATCATCTAATTACTATCCCACAAGGGGAATCTTTGGGGCATTACATGCTATTACCAGCTGCAGCTGAAATAAAAAAACATGAGCAAAACCATAATGTTTAAGAAATCTGTACTAGATGTTTTTAATGCAGATTCCCAGGTCTCAGAATCTGTTTATTAAGACTATGACAAAGAAATGAGAACCACATAGAGAAGGGAAGTCAGTTGTTGAACATTATAAAAAAATACTTTCATGAGACAGAAATGCAGAACAGAGACATCTGAAGGTTGTTTTAAATTTAGTAACATAACATATGATTGAGTCTATGGGATTATAGAAAAAAATGCCTGGACAGGGTCTAGATGTTTTAGAGGAACATACACACCCTTAGTCTCCAGTCCAGTAACCCGAGGTCATTCTTCACATGCCCTTGATTTTCTCTTACAGAAACCACTCCTCTTTGCCAAAACCACCCAGACTGCACAAGTCAGCTCTAGCGATGACATATGCATATTCTAAATACTTGACTTGATTCATGCACAGCTTTCACCTACAGAATTTTAATCATCTCAAGCTTTATTTGGGCATATGAATCCAAATGTCATAGTTACTAATCAACTCTTCCTTCACTCCCACTCCTAACGAAGTAACCATAATTCAAAACCAAACCTGGAAAAAATGGACTGTTATATGGGATTCAACTAAGGGCATTGACGCAAGGTTGGACCCAGCTGTGTGTAGGCAGATCCATGAGCCTGCACACATCAGCACCCTTTCTACAGATGCATGATGGCAAATAATCCAAACAAGGGGAAGAGGAATGGGCAGTAAACTAGGGAAACAGGCAGGTTCAAATAAAGCAAGAACAGCACCACATTCCAAGGAAGGAGGACCCCACATGTAGTGCCAAAGTTGCCAGAAATCAGAAAGCTCCGGTCTGGAGATGTAAGAAGGTAAGACCAAGGTGTGGTTCTCAAAGAGTTGGACACAGTTGCTATAAGTCCATCCTCCTGAGGCTGATTCCTCACTGAACATTTTAGAACAACTAAACTATCCATTTAAAATTCATTCATTGCTGAGGGACATTGCCAAGTAGGAATGATACATCCAAATCCTTGCCAGCGTACCCCATGTTAAATGGACTTGCCTTGGAAATTTGCTGTGACCTTGCATGTGTGTTTGAGAAAGGTGACCCTGCTCAATGACCAGGGTGGATCCAGGATTAGGGTGTATCCTGCAGGTTTGAGGAAGTATCCTTGTCCTAGGGTTTAGGGCGTGCCCGGTTTAAGACAATAGGAGTTTTAGGGAAGTTGGAAGTTGAAGATTATTGCTGCTGGGAGTAGGGCGTGCCTGCTGCCTGAGTTCCCACTGAGTTCTCCTGGAGAGAAAGTATTTAGTAGGTAAATTGTGTGGGCAGATTTTGGATTTCCCCAGAACATGTTTGTAGACAGCCGGTGTGAGTTCGGGAATAAAGGATTGCTGTTTGAATCTACAAGGTGTGTGGTGGCTCGTGATTCTGTGCCAAGCCAAGACCTTGGCAATTCATATCAGTGATGATGATGAGAGAAAACAGCATCTCACAGGCATTTTCTGGGTATCCAAATTGGATCTTTGACAGGCAGTTTGCATGAAAGCCTTTAAAAACTGTATACTCTTTGACAAAAATTTTCATTTCTAGGGATTTTCATGAGGAAATAACCAGAAAAGTATTCAAAGATCATGTGTGGGCAAAAATGGATCTCACCATGCTAATTATAAAAATAGCAAGATCTATTAAGAAGTCTAAAATGATGAAGAATGAATTCTCCAAACTTCAGTCAAGTTACCGTGAGACAAAATGTTAACAAATTTTTAGGACATATCCCGTTTGCAAGAATAGAAAAAAAAGAAGATCTGATTCTGGGAGCCAACAGGGGTTCACAAAAAGAAGATTTAACTGATGAACCTCCTAATTTAATAGAAGCAGGAGAGTGATAGATACATCACATCTTTATTTTAAAAAAGACATTTATCAAAATCTCTTGCAATCTCCTTGCCCAGAAGATAGCCTAAGATGGATCTGTAGCAAACACAAAGAGTGGTGAGTAATAAATCAATGCCTCCTTGCACTGAGACCTCCTCTGTATGTCACAGCTTTCCAATATTATCTCTGCTTTGTCCAATATTTTTATCAAAGATTTAAATGAAACTAATATGTATCCTTATGAAGATTATAAAAATACCTGTATTGGGGAAGGAGTGCTAATTTGCTGATATTCACAGAGTTTAAATGGGTGAAATTATGAATTTTAATAGGATTAAACTGAATAGTGGTAAGAGTAAAGAGGGGACGTAAAACAGAACAAAATGCTGCCAATCCAGATTAAAATAGTGTACCTG